GTCGTCATCGCTTGATCCCCCTCCCCCCGAGCGTGTTGTTCTCTCTCTCCTTGCTGCCTAGGACTCCTCAAGGTTACTCCCCCGTTCCGTGTGCAATTCGGTTTGACTCCATACGCGCGCGTCGTCCTCGTGTGAGAGAGTGTCGGCGTTTGAGCGAGAGTGCGAGCAAAGAACGGGACCTTGTCGCTGCGAGGTGCAAAGTCGTGGACGCTGACTCGGGCGGCCTTGGGCTGTCTCGCTAGCTAGAAGTCTCCAATTCCTCTCTGAGAGGTTTGTGAGGCAGTTTTCTGACGAAGAGCCGCAAGGAGAGGAAGGCGACCCGGAGGACGAGGAGGAAGAGAAGGTCTGCTTCGCTCGTTCAGCAAGCTCGCACTCGAGTTCGCTCACCTTGGATCCAGCTCGTCTCGACGCTGCAGAGCTTCGCATGCTACGCTGCCCCTGTTCCCCAGCCAAGTCACCGCGCACCGCAGTGTGAACCAGTCGAAACTCGACGAGGCGGGACGACGTGCGCTCGACGTCGCTCTTTGCCTCTCTTTCTCCTTCACACCACTCGCAACGTCGAGTCGCATCGTCTACTGACGCCCGCACCCGCTACGACGATGACCCGCACTCGCTCTGCCTCGTACAGGTTCGTCTTCTCCGCTGCCCCGTCGCTCGCTCTGCTCGTCCGTGGTGTCGACGCTGACATCGCCCGGACGTCCTGCACTCCCACAGCTCCCCGAAGACCTCAACCGGCTTCGACTTGCCCTTCGACGCCCATCCCTCTCCTCCCTCGTCCGAGTCCGCAACTCCCACTCGCACCCGCCGTCACTCGCTCGCCGGATCTCGCAGTCCGACTCCCCCACTCGACTTGTCGCCTCCGTTGCCCAGCAGCTGCTTCCTCCCTGACGCCTTCAAGACGCAGGCGGCGGGACTGACGGTTCCTGCTTCTCCTCTTCCTTCGCCTCGCCCGACTGGGCTACAAGGCTTCCAGAGTGTCGTCTCGCCGCTCGTCTACTTTGACAGCTATCCTGACGTGGGCGATGCTACACCGTATTCTCCGCCTGTGTGGCAGCACGAGTTCCAGCCGTATTCGCCTCCTCCTCAGAATCCGTTCGAAGGCGGCTGGCAAGTCGATCCGGCTCTGGCTGGGTTCGCTCCGTCTCAGGCCTGCTTTCCACTGTCTGGTCTCGGCTTGTACGAGTCTTCTCCATTGATCTATCCCATCTCTTCTCGCGCTCCTCCTTCATACTCGCCAGACTTGGGCTACTTCCCTCCCAGTCCGCCCTTTGGCTTCAGCCCTCCGTCTTTCTCCTTCTCATTTTCTCCTCCTGTGCCTTATCAGCCTGCTTATGTCCCAAGTCCTGCTCCTTTCCCGCTTTACCACCCTGCCCCAGGCTTTGGCTTCACCACTCCTCCTCCCTTTTCGCCTTCGAACTTCCCGCTCCCTCCGCCTCCTCTCCCCTCTCCCCCAGTCGCCGCAACTCCCGCCCCTCCCGCTCTCAGCACAACAGGCAAGACCGCCTCGCAGCTCCTCGAGGAAGGCGAGGCGTTCTGGTCGACTGGGACTTGCAAGTTCTTCGACGTCGAGAAGGTGCGTTCCCGGATCTTCTTTGCTCGCTCGAGACGCTCGCTGACCAGATGAGGATGGACAGGGCTTCGGTTTCATCGTTGACGACCACAACCAGGAGATCAAGCTGGACGGTGCGTCTTCCTCCGGGTCTCGCTTCTTCCGTAAGCTGCAGCGCTCAGTGGTCTGACACTCTTGTCGTGACGCAGTCTTCGCACACTACACGGGTGTTGATCAAAAGCGCGGCTTCCGCTGTCTCGCTCCGGGCGAGAGGGTGCGTTTGCCTCGTTCCTTCGATGCTTCACTCCCCTCGCCGGCGTTCTCTGTCGTCTTCTGGTGTCCCGCATGCTGTGAGCCGCCGCTGACACCGTTTCGCGCTTCATCGCTCGCAGGTCGAGTACGTCTTGACGAAGCTGTCGAACGGCAAGCTCCAAGCCTTCCGTATCAAAGGCGAGAACGGTGCGCCCCCCTTCCTCCCTTTTGACTGACTCCCCGCTAACGTCGGCGACGACCCACAGGCGCGCCCTTGCAAGGCCTGGCCAATCCAGCGCAGGCCGCAGCGTTCGACAAATCCGTCGGGAAGATGCAGGACGGCGAGGGGTGTCCGCAGATCCGGGCGGCTATGAAGGAGCGAGCGCTGACGAGCGGGCGAATGTGAGGGATGTAGGAAGGGAGGTTGAGGGAAGAGGCGGAGGAGGGAGGAAAGTGTTCTCAGAGTCTGGTAGCTGTGCTGTCGTTCTCCGTGCACTTCGAGCAGTGCCTTTCGCGACGAGGGCAGCCGGTTGGACACAACGGGAGCCGGAGGAGCTGGAGAGCGGTGAGTCTCCTCCTGAAGACCTTCGCAATCTCGAGCGTCCGCTGCGAGCGTCTCCCCACAACCAACTGAGCCACCGCATGCACTTCAAAGGCCTTTGCATTCGTCTTCCGCTCTGCGAGCAGCCCACCTAAATCTGAATGCCCGACACAACAACCTTCTTCGCGCTCACGCCCTTCTTCTGCACATCCAAACCCTTCTGGACGTCCTTCAACCCCTCGCCCGCCACGAGCGGGTCAGGCTTGCACTTGAGCGTGCCGCGCTCGAGTGCGAGGGGGACAAAGTCGTGGTAGACGGCGCGGGCGACGGAGCTGGAGTCCTTCGAGACGACGTCGAGGGCGAAGACTGCGCGCAAGATTATGATCAGGATGCTATTCGGAGAGAGAAAGAGAAAGGCAGAGACGCACCCCATGCAGACTTGACGTCTCCAGGAAGCTTCTCAGGCGGCTGCAACGTCGCAGCGATGTAGTGCTTGCCCTTGCCCCCAAACACCTTCATCGCAACCTCCCCGCAGATCTCGAATGACCCCTTCTCGGAGATTGCATCGTACACACCTGCAAACTCGTTGCCGGCCTTCTCGATAGCCTTGACGAGGTCATCGGTGACGGAGGAGGATTTGTAGTCGACCGCGGCGACGGCGCCGAGGGACTTGACGAGGTCGAAGTTCGCCGGCGAGCAGGTGGTGACAACCGACAAGCCGGAGGCCACAGCGAGCTGGATCGCCGCGGTGCCGACGGAGGACGAACCACCATAGACGAGGATGACCTTGCCCTTTCCTTCGGGGTTGGGCGAGTCGGGCTTGGGGTGCGGGAGGTTCAGGTGGGTGGACTGATAGAGACCAGTAGCGGCAGTCGAGAGCGCGAGAGGGAGGACCGTCGCTTGCTCGAAGGAGACGGACGAGGGGATCTTGGAAGCGAGGAGGGCGTCAACGACCGCGAACTTCTGGAAGGCCGAGTGTTCCGGATTGCCAGTGGCGAGGGACTTGCAGTGGCTGCGAACGTTGCGTCAGTATCCATCTTCTCGCTTCGCGCAAAGGGAGGAGCGGAGACCCACGCAAGCACCCGGTTGCCCTTCTTGACATTCTTCACGCCCTCTCCAACCTCCTCGACCTCACCCGCGACATCAGTCCCGAGAATGAACGGGTACTTCTTGACGAAAAAGTCGTAGTCCTGGATCTGCGAGGCGGAATAACAGTCAGTCAGCAAGGCGAAGGGTTCCCTCGAGCGGAGGAGGCGTACCTTCCAGTCGACCGGCTGGATCGAGACGGCTTGAACCTGTCCGTCACGAATACGTCTCATCAGCACTCCTCGCGCCCAGCAAGCGCCACACGACGCACCTTGACGAGCAAGTGGCCCGCCTCCACCTTTCCGACCGGCGCGTCCTTGACCTCGAGCTGAGCCTTCGCGGCAGGGATCCGAGCAGCAGCGTTCTGAACCATCTCTAGCGTGTCTAGACGAGACTGTAAGCAGAGTAAAGAGGGAGAGGGAGAGGAAGAGAGAGGCTGAGCAAAGTCCGAGGATCTGGCCGAGTTGTCCCTCGCTCGGACATCGAGCGCGCATACAACGAGGAAGTCTACGATTACGCTGGCAAATGCAGAGAGCGAACGAGCGATGTATTGGTAACACCGGGAAGAAGAACAAACAAACGAACGAATGAGCGAGGGTGGAGGGAGGAGGAGGATCCAACGAAAGAACCGACGGAAGCACAAAAGATTGACCGGAATGCGAGGCGAGGGTGCGAACGAGCGAAAAGTGTATGGTATGGGTATGGGTCGACGAGTTCGAGTCGACGTCTAGCACGGCAGAGGGACGGAGCGGAGCGAGAGGCAGAGGAGGGCGCGGTTAGGCGGCGCCTCCGCCGGCCATGTTCTTGCCCTTGACGCTCAGGTTGCGAATCGGGATTGCGCAGAGGGAGGTCAAACCGCCTGCGACCGTGAGGTGCGTCAGTGGACGAGCGAGGAAGAGGAGGGAAGGACTGGTGGACGCACCGGCTGCGGCGCCGATGATGAAGACGTCCTTGAGCGCCGTCGTGTACGCATGAATAACACCCGGCTGCATCGCCTTCGGCAGTGTCGGGATAGCCTACACCACACCATCGTCAGCTAGGAAGAAAGGGAGAGGCGCGAAGGGGAAGGAGCGCACCTCGACCGAGTTACGGACGAGCTGGAAGGGCGCTTCGGGCGCAAACTCGTGCAGGCTCGAGCCGAGCTTGGTGCCGAAGATGGACGAGGCGATGGCGATACCGATCGTGCCGCCGACTGCGTTTCATTCGCTCCATCAGCTCGACTTCTCGTGCGATAAGAGGGGGAGGGAGCGTACCGAGCTGGGCGAAGGTGACGAGCGCGGTCTTCTGCGGGACTTCGGTCTCGTCGTCGCAGTCGGCCTGGACAGCAATGATCGTGTTCTGAAGGACCGCTCCAACTCCAATCGCAAGGATCTGCTCGTCGCGCTGCTCATCAGCTCGCGCCCACCGTTGAGAAGGTGAGAGGGGACGCACGATCTGGAACCCAATCAACTTAGCCGAAGACGTGTGCTCGTCGACCGTGTACAACAACCCGGACCCGATACAGCTGAAGATCGGACCGAAGACGAGGAAGGGCCAGTAGGAGCCAAAGGTCGAGATTAGGGCGCCGCAAACGCCGGCGGCGATCGTTACGCCGAGCATGAAGGGCTGCGAGTGGAGGGGACGTCAGTGCGAGGGAGAGAGAGAGAGACGGAGGCAGGACGAACGAGGATGTCGATACCGCTCTTGCTGCCGAAAGGGAAGCGAGCGTCGTCAGTGAGAGTTTGTCAGCAGCGACGAAGATGAGCGAAACGAGCGAGTCGCAACGTACGTTGCCGAGTGGAAGCGAGTCGCTTGGCTGTACCGGTCAAACTCGTCAGTCTCGACTTCTCGAACCGACCAAGAGGGACCGCTCAGGACTCACTAGAACGTCGGCAAGTAGTACGTCGAGACGAGGAGTACAAACATGGTGAAGAACGCGCACATGCACGCTCCAGCCTGAGAACGGTCCACAAAGTATCCAAGGGGGAGGATCCTCGATGGTCCTGCAAACTTCCACTCGAAGAGGACGACCGTAGGAACGAGGATGGCGAAGACGACGAGCGTAGCGACGACCGGTCCGTCGTGCCAGGCGTACTTGACGCCTCCCCACTGGAGCGCAAGGACAAGACACGCGATCGTGGCGATCATGAGGACCGTGCCGATATAATCGAGCGCGAAGAGGCGGAACGCGAGCGAGGTGCGAGGGGGAGTCCAGAGACCGAAAGTCCAGCGCTTGAACTTGCGCTCGGTGTAGGAGGCGACGGTTTCGGTCATCGGGGGAGGAGGCTGCGGGCCGAGAATGAACATGATGGCGACGACGGTGAGGGCGCCGATTGGGAGATTGATACTGCAAGCGAGCGTTAGTTGCGAGTCGAGCACGAAGTGAAGTACGGTGCAACACACAAGAAGCACCAGCGCCACGAGACGTGGTCGGTGAAGGCGCCGCCCATCTGCCAGCGATGTGAAACAGTCAGACTTGGTCTCACTCAGTGCGGAAGAGCGCTCAAACATACAAGAGGCCCAATCACCTGGATCGGAACGGAGGAGTCAGTATGGTTGGGAAGGCGAGGATGTGCAGAAGGAAAAACCGTACACTGCTCAAAGCGAATACCGCGCCGAATAATCCCTGGTAAATGCAGCTTATCAGTACCGTGGCGAGAAGCGGGAGAGAAGGGCGAGACGCACGAAGAGCTTCGGCCGGTCCTCGAGGCGGGTCACTTCGGCGATGATGGAGAGGCAGGAGACGAAGATTCCGGCGGCGCCGCAGCCTGTACAACGAGTCCGTGTCAGTCTCGTCGCCAGGGCGTCGGTAAGGGAGGAAACGAACCGGCGAAAGCACGGCCGAAGATGAGGACGTCGACGTTCCTGTTTCGTCAAGTCCCGCGTCAGCTCCCTCCTCAGAGCGCAATGCTCAATGCTGTATGCGACTCACTTAGCCACCGCACACACCAGCGAGCCCAGCTCGAAGATCAGGATCGCAAAGAGGAACGTCCATTTCCTGTCGAAGAGGGTGAGGATCTGGCCGTAGAGGAGGAGGAAGGCCGTTTGGGTGAGGAAGTAGCTGCGCGCAACTTCAAGTCAGTCTTTGCGAGTCCAGCAAAAGAATGGAGACGAACGCGGAGGCGATCCATGCCTGGAAGTTCCGGAGAGGAGGGTCAGAAAAGGACTTGGCGAGATGAGGAGGTTCGAGGACGTACAATCTGGTCGAGCGCTTGGAACTTGGATGCGATGACTGGGAGAGCTGGAGCGAGAATCGTTTGGTCCTGGTAGATGTGAGGAGGGTCAGTAACCGGGACGAGGAGGAAGAGCGGAGGGACGCACGAGGGCGATGAGCAGGATCGAGAGTAGCATGCCGACAAAGACCAGCACGAGCTTGGCTGCGAAGCATTACGGGCGAAAACAGCGAAAGTTGTGTGGTCGAACGAGGAGGCGAGAGGAGGAGGGGTCAGCGGTCGCCCAACCTCGCCGGGTCGCCTTCGGATGCGACGGTATACGTAGGAAAAGTATCCTAGAAGAAGGGAAGGCGAACGCACTGCCGGTCAAGTACTTGCTCTCGCGCTCGATCTCCTCCGGAGTCTTCGTCCCCTTGTCCTCCGCCCCAAACTCGCCCTCATCCTTCCTGCTGAGCGCGTCCGAGTCGGTCGAGAGCGTCTTGTCTACTGCGGGTGCGGCGGTGATGCTCGAGGCGTAGCTGCGCGCGTTGTCGGCGCTCGATGGGTGGGTTGCCTCGAGTTCAGCGACAACTGGGTGGTCTGCCTCGCCCGTCGCTGCGGTCTTCGTGTCGGCCATTGTGGGCTGAGAGTGTCGTTGGGGTGTGTTATGCCGTGCAAGCAGCACTGAGGAAGAGAGAGAGAGCGAGAGAGGCGGGCGAGGTTCGATTCGCGGCGTTCGGAGAGACGCGCGTCGAGTCGGAAGCGGCGTCGGCGGAAAAGTCCACGGAGTGACCGCGCGGGTGCGTGCACCGTCTGACAAAGCTCAGCGTAACTTGACGGGGCGTCGCAAGCCAGCCAGTCAGGAGTCCGCCGAAAGAGTCCGCCGAGGACGGAGCCAAGAGCGAGCAGCAGCAGCGAGTAGCGAGTGAGGCCATCGGGGCGAAGGAGGACGAGCACGTCGGTCGACGTTCGAGCAGTGCAGTGTCGGAAGCGAAGACAAGAAGCGAAGGGAGAGCGTCGTGGGAGAACGCAGCAACGACCTCCGCCCGCTCGAGCGATACCGAGGGTGGGAGGAATTGGCGGGCCGGACCATGACATGCGAGTGCTGACATCTTTGCAAGGTCTCTCCGTACTTTAGCATGCAAGTAAAGTCGCGGTAACGGCGGAATTCGACGTTGGAGCCGCCCTCTCGCCGCCCAACGACCCACTCCTCCTGGGAAGGTCAGCGTCGAGCTGTTCCGCCAGAAGGCTAACGCAGACGTCAAGGGAGCTCGACACAGTCGCTGTTGGACGGCGCGAGTTGACGGCAGTGAGCGAAAGAAGAAGGGAGAGAGAGAGGAGGAAGGGAGACGCAAGGGAGACGTCGACGACAGCAGGGGAGGCGGAGCTCTCGCCGAGCGAAGTGTTGGTGGTCGGCGATGAGTTTGAGTCGTGCGTGGTATTTGTCTCTTTCGTGAGGTTCCGAGCTGACATGGCGGGACGCAGGGACTACGAAGCGCCTCGCAAGGCAGGCCTGCAAAGCCTGCTCCTTCGACGAACAACACGCTCGAGCGAGCTATCAGGACGACGAGAGGAATCTGCGAAGCGAGGACGTGGTAGCGAGTCTATTGAACGTGGTAGAATACATCAAGCGGGAGAACGAGGGAGGAAGCAAGCGGTAGACGAAACGGGAACTCTCACTCCTTGAACAACTGGTCACGATGCGTAAGCGAGTCCCAAGCGATGCAAGCAGTCCATCCTCTACTCCTCTCCCCGTCTTCCGGACCCTAAGCCCTCTTGACGCGCAAGAGGTCGTCCATCCTCCTCCTGTCCGCTCCCTGTTCCGTCCAAGCCCTCATCGCTTCGTAGAGCTTCTCGTGCTCCGGTCCCGAGGCGATAGGGAGGTCGAGCATGACGTCGTGGCCGAGGAGCGACTGGCAGTAGCCGAGGTAGCGGTAGCCGTAGGGGAAGCGAGAGAGGAGGGCGTCGTCGATCTGTGCGGCGAAGAGCGAGCGTGGAGCCGCGGGTGAGTGACAAGAGACGGGGCAGGCGAGCGCACCTTGGGGAGCTTGCGCGGGTCGACGGGGATGAGCCTGTCTTTCTCGTAGATGACCTGCGAGGAGAGCCAGGGCAAGCAAGGTCAGCTTCGGCGCGACAGCGAACGGAGAACGACGAAGCACCTTGTAGTAGGCGACCTGGAGCGAGCAAGGGCGCACGCCGAAAGTCAGCTCCGTTCCCGACGGAGGCAAACGGACGGGAACGAACCTTCCACTCGCCCTCCTCGTTCTTCTCGCAGAAGAAGCAGAACCTGTTGAGGCACTGCGCGTCGACCTCGACCTTCCCGCCCTTCTCACCCTCAAGCTCAAAGCGCTGGTCGATGCACGTCTTGAGGATCCCGACAGCGCGCTTCGAGTTGGCGCCGAGCTCGACCGAGCAGCCCATCGCGGCGTGCATGATGCGCTCGCCGCGATTGAAGCCGGCGATCGAGGCCGAGATAAAGTCGTCGATGGACTTGCCGGCGGACCTGCGAGACGAGCGAGCATGGAGTGTGAATTCGAGGCGTCGTTCCGGAGCACGAGAGGGGACGGACCAGGTGGTGAAGACCTGCAGGAGCGTGTTCGGGCCGTCAGTAAGCTGCTCCGGGACGAGAGGCAGACGAAAGCGAGAACGCACCTGAGCGTCGTCCGTGAACATCGAGCGGTACTGTCTCCGCACCCTCGTCAGCTCAGCGCCTCCGGAGCAACCAGAAGAAACTTGGAACGCACCGCCCTCCAGTTCCTCGCATCGCGGTGGCACGGCCAGCCCTCGCAAATCTCGCGGATGGCGAGGCGGTCGAGCTTGTCCTTGTCCGGACCGTTGAAGAGCTTGGTCGTGGTCGGAGACGGGACTTGGGCGCCGAAGGGGGTGGACATGGTGGAGATGTAGTCGAGTCGAGCGAGGGAAGCGAGAGAGACCAACAGGGAAGTGAGGGAGGAGAAGAGGAGGCGGAGTGACCCCGCTTTCTCGGTGGGACGGCGTAGACTTCAGCCTTGAATCATGCGCATGCAGCAAGCAACGAGTCGAGCAGAAGGTGAGCCGTTTCGCCGCATCGCAAGTCCAGCAACGGCGAGAACGAGGGGATCGCGAGAGCGTCGTCAATACGAACGAGTCCAGCTCGAGTTCAGGTGCACTTCAAGCGAGTGCTCGTCAGCCAGTGAGAACGCAGTCGTCATCCCAGTGCCCCTCCGTTCGCCGATCTCGCGTCTGTGTCCTGCCTCGCGAATTCGTCAAGGCGAGAGCAGGAGGATCACACCGTCCAAGCCAGCCAGGCCGAGCAAGACGAGCAGGAGCAGCGGGAACAGCAGCGAGTGAGCAGACTTGCGAATACAGCAAGGTGAGCGACACAGTGAGCGAGGGAGAACAAGGACGAGGACGAGGGCCGAGGGAGGGAGCTGCGCCTCCCCTCGAGTGTGAATTCGCTGCACGTGACTAATTTGCTCGCGCGTACAAAAGCTCGACCGCCAAGTCGTTCACTTGTCCTCTTTCCTTAACGCATAACAAGCACGGCCCATTCAAAAAGCACGTAGCCTACTCGAGACCAGGCGCAGCTCGTTCTGCAGCCCAGTCCATGATTCGCTACGCCGTCTACGCGGGCCGGAGAACGAGGGAGAGGGGACTTGGGTGCGGCGCTTCCTCACTGCCCGGGCGCGGCTCACACGCCTGCAGCCTGTCGTGCGTGGAACGGGTCGCAATGTCCCGTCGTACACGCAGCAACAGCGCGGGACTCGGTGGACGGGGGCAGGCGCAGGGGGGACTTGCGCGGGTCGAGGAGGAGGGTATCGTGGTGCTCGCCTCGCCTTGGAATGGATCGTACGGTTGCCCAGTCCATCACAGTCCACGAGAGCATCGTGCAGACCGTTCAGCCCACCGAAAGCCGCGTCGTCGTCGACTCGCGTCGCCCTCTCGCTCGTTCGCGTCCGTCAACTCGCTCGCTCCCGGCTCAAGCAGCAGGAGAGCGCTTGGCTGGTCCGCCATGAACTTCTCCAACCTGCTGAACCCCGACGAGTTCCCAGCCGACCCCTCCACAAGCGCCGCTGCGCCATCCACCTCGACGGCAGCTCCACAATCCTCCCCATCTCGCATGTCGTTCGACTTCCTGAACGCCTCGACGAGCGCGCCCGACTCGCCTGCGTTGACTGTGGGAGACGGATACGCGGGGTCGGCCGGTGCGAGTCCGTCGGCGTTCCTCCTTCGACCTGCGGAACCACCGATGCAGGCGAATTCAGCCTTGGACGCGGTCAATCCGGCGATGCTTGGGTTACACACGGCATTCGGAGCTGGTATGGTACCACCTGTTGCGCGCGGAGCGTCGCCAGTCTCGGTGGCTTCGGTCGTGCCAGACTCGGACGACGAGGGCAAGCGGCGACAGGGCGCTGACAAGGGGAAGGGAAAGGCTGCTATGGAGGAGGATGTAGATGTGGACATCCTGGCGAGCGGTGATGAGGCCGGAACGGTCGCAGCTTTGAAGGTGCGCCTCCTCACTCTCGCTCACAACGTCAACTCGAGATAGACATTCACCTCAATCATCGCAGGCTCAGGCTCGCTCGCCACCTGCACCGAAACCTCGCTCTCGCCCCGGTTCGACCAAGCCAAAACCTCGCCCCGCCCACCTGACCTCGTCCGCTCCATCTCCTGCACCCTCCCCCGCTCCATCCAGCAACCTCGCCAACGAAGTCCACCCCGACTCGCAAAGCGTCTCAGCAATCCAAGAACCGCCCGTCCCGCTTCTCCCGCCGATCTCGCCTTCGGAATACCACCATCCCCGTCTTTCTCCCTCGATTCCTCACCGCGTCCTCCCAGACCCTTTTGAACTCTACGTCCCGCCTAGACGGAAAGGGCCTGGAGGTACAATTGTGGATGACTCGTCGTCGGAGGAAGATGAGGAGACGAGGAAGAGAGAGAGGCAGAGGCGGGCGCAGTTGGCTGCTCAGAGGAGGGGAAAACGGGATAAGCGGGGGAAGGAGGAGGATGAGGGTGAAGAGGAGGATGACAGATTGTACTGCGTCTGTAAGGAGCTGTACGACCCCGAGGTGCGTGCTGTTCACACTGTTCTACGACTTGCTCTCGCTGACATTCCTTCTCTCGCTCGCAGCGCTTGATGATCGCTTGCGACAAGTGCGCACGCGTCTATCCTCTGCTTAAAGCGCAAACTGACGAGACTGCGCCGCAGATGCGAGGAATGGTACCATGTCGACTGCGTCGGGATCAGCGAGGACTCGGTCGAACTCGTCGACGTCTTCATCTGCCCGAAGTGCTCAGCCAGTGAGTCGGTCACTTCGGGATTCAGCTCGCTGCGCGTAGCGCTCGCCAGCGCGCCAGTACGTCCAGAGGTATCGTCTGACAAGTCCGTCCCTGCAGCCTCTCTCGATCGCACAACCTGGAAACCCTGCTGCGCCCGCCCGACCTGCCGCCACCCCGCCGTCCCGCTCTCCAAGTACTGCTCCGACTATTGCGGCATCTATGTTGTCTCTTCCCGCCTTGACCTCCTCCAGCTCGACACGGGTATCGCGCCCGAAGCGTTCTGGGACAAGGTCAGCGGCGCAAGGAGGAAGGAGGCTGAGGTGGTCGAGGTCAAACCTGATGCGATGGATGCGTCGAATCATGAAGAGGCGAGACGGGCGGCGTCTTTCGCGCGACAGGACGCCTCGGATGCGCAGGTTCGCGCCCAGCTGGTCGCCAAACTCGCCGAGGCAGCTTCACGCCGCTTCAAGCTCGAGGAGACGATCGAGCTCGTCGACAAGCGTTTGCGGTACTTGACCGTCGCCGTGAAGCGGTGGGAAGCGCTGTGTCAGGCCACGGCGGACGAGATGGCCTCGGCCGGGATCGACTTGAATGCTGCGACGCCGATGTCGACGCAGGGCGGGAAGAGTAGGAAGGACCGAAGGCGAGCCGGAGGGAAGAAGAAGGGTCCCGTCGCGGCGACTTCGCTCCCGGACGCGCAGTGCGGTCTCGACGTCCGACTCGTGTACGACGACGCGGCCTGGCGGGACTTTCTGGCCTCGCCGTTCGGGACCGAGTTGCTTGATGCGCAGGCGAAGGGCGAGGCGGAGAAGGTCCTCGAGATGGCGCTGGGAGACCTCGAGGGTGTGTGTCTCGAGACGAGGAAGAGGTGCGAGCGACATGGCGGCTGGCAGAAGGTGCGAGAGGCGGACTTTGCGGTGGAGAAGGCTGTGCTGGTGCGTGGCAGGCCGTTTCCTTCTACTGCCGGAACTGACCCGGCTGACTACCCTGCATTCGAGCAGAACCGCCGCCTCGAACGCGTCAACCTCCTGTCGACTTCGCTTTCGAACCAGCTCGCGACACACGACTCGATCGTCTCCTTCCGTCGCGCGAACCGCTCGCGCACCTGTCCGCCATCGCAGCTCATCCCGATCGAGGACTTCATGATCGAGCGCGAGGAGGAGCAGGAGGAGGAGCGGGCGAGGCGGCGTCCTCGACAGCGGAGTCCCAGTCTGGGAGCGGGCACGAACGGCGTCAGGGGAGGCGGGCGCGCGAACGGGTCGAAGAGCAGCCGAGAGTCGGCTGATGGCGGAGGAGGACCGGGCGGCGAGGTAGAGATCCCGCCTGAGCTGCTGCCCTTTCTCTCGCGCGCAGAGATTGCGGCGTACAGGAAGGGCAGGTAAAACGCACTGCAACGCGATCATATGCGCTCTGTTCGATTCTGCGAGGAGGAAAGGCGAGTCAAGTGGACATTTGGCTTTCGCTGCAGGGGTTGCCGCACCTGTCTGGCTGGGTCAGTGAGCATGTCAAGCAGTACACAGACTCGCTCCGGCGCCTTTCTGCTGACGACGGGCGAAGCCGGTTTTCGAGAAAAGTGAAGTCGCGGAACTCGTCAAGACGCTTCTCGCAGATTGCCTGGTTGGACTAGCTTGCTGGGCCAGTCCACCGCTTTGCTACCGTCAGACTCGCCGACCATGGCCAGTCCTTCCACCGACGCAGCGGCGAGCGCACCCGATGCCGAGATTCAGCAGCTGCAGGCAGGAGACGCTGTCGGCGCCGAGCAGGCAGACCAAGGTGCGTGCACAGCGCCAAAAGTCTTGCAGAGAGTGCTCAAGCTGACCAGTCTGCCCTGCATGTCCGCCTACCCTTGTCGCCGCCCGTCGACGCCGGATCCTTCTCCTCTCATCTGATGCCGGGTCGCCCGACTCGACGACAGCAGCTTCCGAGCCCGCGGCCGTCGAGGTGACGCTCCTTGTGCCCTCTCAGCAATTCCTGAGCCTCCCGACGTCGCCCGCAAAGAAGACGGCAGACGGTCTCCTCGAGCTTCCCCTGCCGATCGCTCTCTCCGATGCGATCCACGACCTCCGCACCATCATTACCGACGCACCCGAGGGCTTCTGGCTCGGCGCATTCTCGCTTGCCCCGTGCTACGCCGAGGAGGTCGAGGGAGGCGAGGTCAAGGAGGGCGAGGAGCAGGCGAAGCAGTTCGGAGAGTGGAAGGCACTCTCGCCGCCCGAACGCAAGCCTCTTGCGGCTGGCGAGGTCGATCCGACGGCGTGGAGCCTGACGAAGGAGGGCGTCTTGGGCGACTTTGCCGACTTGACGGCCGTCTTTGGCGCCGAGCCCGAGTTCTGGGAGGGCAAGAAGCGCGGTCTCAAGGTCACCTTCAGTGCGTTGCGGCTAGCTGGATTCTTGCAGTTCTTTAGAGCTGACATCGTCCCCCTCAGCCCCCTACTCTTCGGCTTCGATGCACCAACATATCCTCAAGGTTCGCGACGTCCTGTTCTCCAACCTCCCTCCTTTCGCCTCGACCCCGACCAACTACGACCCTACTTCGCTCGCGATCGGCGCTGGCTCAACGCTTTACGCTTCGGTCTGCGGAAAGAACGAGGTTGAGCAGGAGAAGGCTGTCTCGCAGGAGGAGGAGCAGGACGAGAAGGGTGAGTGCGCACTCATGGACCTGTCTTTTCGCGATGCTGACATAGCTCGTCCGTAGCTTCCAAGGGCAAGAAGGGCAAGGCGAGCAAGAAGGCAGAGAAGGCTGCTGCTGAGCCGGCCTCGACGTCTTCCGCTGCGCAACCCGAATCCTCGACTCACCCCTTCTCCGGCTGGACTATCGATGACCTCAAGGCCGACAACTACCTTACCCACCTCTCCTCTGCCTCTTCCCTCGCCGCCACCTCCCCCTGCCTCAAATCCCTCGGTGTTTCTCCCTGGAGTCCACCCCCTCACCCCCGCCGTCTCCGCGGCGACCTCGTCTACCTCACCATCCAGACGCTCGAAAGCGAGCAGTACACCATCACTGGCGCGACCAACGGATTCTGGGTCTCCAAGTCGACGAACGCGACTTTCGACCCGTCTCCACGTGCCGTCCTTCCCAAGGGCGTCCACGCTGGCGCATACCACTCGCTTTTCGAGCTCCTCGCCGACATCTCGCCTTCCTTCCGCAAGAATCTCTCTTCTCTCATCGCCAAGTCGTCTCGCACCGACTTGAGCCAGTCGGACCTCGTCGGCGCGCTGGCCATCACCCACACGATCCCCGCTGCGCCATACCTCGTCAAAGCGCCTCAACACGTCGCAGACCCCTTCCGCACCCAGGCCGCCTACCTCCTCACCTCGTCCACCACCGCCGACCAGCTCCCCGCCGCACGCGACTGGAACGACGAGTTTGCCCAGTACCTCGATCTTCCTCGCTCGAACGTCAACGAGCGCCTCCTCCGCGAGCGTCTCATCTGCCGGACGCAGGCCGAATTTGTTGCTGCTGCTACTCGCGGAGCGATGGCGATTGCTCGCGGCGACGTCCAGCCTCTCAACCCGAACGAGGCGCCAGCTGCGCACACTTTCATCCACAACAACCTCCTCTACACCAAGGCTGAGGACGCGACCGGCATGCACACGCACCTCGGCGGCGACGAAGCAAGTCGTTACGCCGCGGGCAAGGACCTTCGCGGTATCGAGATCCTCGAGCGCCTCGACATCGACGGTCTCAGCGTCATGCAGACCCTCCTTGTCGACTTCCGCGGCACTCGCTGGATCTGCCAGAGCCTCATTCCCGGCCTGTTCAAGACCGCTCGGGACGGCGAGGCTGAGGTCTCGCTCGCTGGCGACGAGAAGGGCGAGAAGGTGCCGACGACCTACCCTGCCGGCGACGAGTCGGCCAAGGAGGCTGCGAAGAAGGCCATCGAGTCCGACAAGCCTTTCCCGGCCGAGACGACCCCGAACAAGGACGATTACCCGCCTACGTCCGCCTTCCGCATCGTCTACGGCGCGGCCGACCCCGAGAAGCCCGACTCGAAGGTTCGCGCGTCGGCTTACTTCCACGAGACGCTCGCCAAGAAGGTCGCGAAGCAGATGCGCTTTGCCGAGCACGACGTCAAGAACGAGGAAGGCAAGGTCACCCGGCTTTACACGGCGAGCGACATGCACGGCATCGCCGCGACTGACGGCAGGAGCTACTTCATCGACTGCTGTGCGTTGCGCTCCCTCGTCTTTTGGTTCTCTGCTGATTATGTTCCTGCCTCTCCAGCCCGCTTGCAGTGTGTCGACGTCGAGTTCCTCGAGAAGAACGTCAAGGCCGACGACTCGACCTCGGTCGAATACCCTCACCGCGTCGTCCTCCTCCGCCCCGAGCTCCTCGAGGCGTACCGCGAGTCGAAGCTGCAGAAGTGGCTCGAGGTCAAGGTCGCGGAGACCCGCGCCAAGGTTGAGGAGGAGCAGAAGTCGGTCGAGGCGGAGCTGAAGGAGGCCGCGTCCACCGAGACTCCTACTCAAGGCGAGGAGGCGCCGCAGGACGACGAGGCCAAGCCGGCCAAGGCGCCCACGACGTCCGTCATCAACGCCGACGACTTTGTTCTCAACTTCGACCCCGACGCGTTTGTCGAGCGCAAGCCGACCGAATCGGGCGAGCAGCTCGTCATCTACGACCCCGAAGACGAGTCGACCAAGAACGTACGCCTCGCCAGCCAGTACCTCCGCGACGTTGTTCTTGACGAGTTCCTCGTCGAGGCTGCGGCGAACACCTTCATCGTCACCGACGGCTTCCTCATCACCAAGACGCTGCACCGCAAGGGCATCAACATGCGCTACCTCGGTCTCCTCGTCGACAAGATCGACCAGGGCGCCGACAAGATCGAGGTTGGCAAGTCGACGACCAAGGACGAGGCGGCCTTCACGCTCAGTCTCCTCAAGAGCACACTCCAGCACGAGATGGTCATTCGCGCCGCCAAGCACATCCTCAACCGCCTCCTCCGTTCCGCCGAGGCTTACGACGAGGCAGCCATCGTCGCGCACTTCTACAACTGCCTCCTCGGCGCCGCCTTCAACACGTCGCCCGTCGCTGAGCCCATCGACCTTCCGCTCGGCTCGCAGGTCGACCGGTCCTGGACCGACCTCTCTCCCGCCTCTCTCCGCGCAGACCTCGTCAAGGAAGTCGCCGCTCGCTTCCGTCACCAGTTGTACGAGTCCTGGTTCGATGAGCAGATGCTCAAGAACAAGGTCGCACGCGAGCTCTCCCTCCGCGTCGGCGTCCAACTCGTCGCCCGCAAGTACGACTTCGCTGGCGCGCAGGCCGACTCCTCCGAGCCGCACGTCAACGGTGTCTCTACCTCGTCCGACAGCGAGCCTGCCGCCTCATCGTCGAAGAAGGGCAAGAAGAGCAAGAAGGCCAAGGCTGATGTCGACGACAAGCCCAAAGCTCGCGGCGCACCGACCACCTTCACGCCGGAGGACGTCCTCAACGTCGGCCCCGTCGTCAAGTCGACCAACCACCGCTCGTCGCTTGTGGAGGAGACCTTCTACCAGGGTCAGCGTGCGATCGCAGATGGTCACGCCGAAGTCGGTGAAGCCGTCTGCAACGACGCGCTCCACATCTGCGAGCAGATCTTCGGTCCCGTCCACGCCGAGGGCGCCGACAAGTTCCACGCGCTCGGCATCATGTGGCACAACCTCGCTCAGCGCGTCCTCAACACCGTGCGCACGCACGAGCTCGCCGCCAGCGCTCTTGCCGACCTCTCGCCCGCTGAGCGCGAGCAGCACGAGAAGCAGATTCAGGAGCTCCTCGTTCCCGACGTCGAGCAGGCTCGCGCCGAGGCCGAGGCGTACCTCCAGCAGGCTGTCCGCCTTGTCCGCCAGTCGATCGTCATCTCGGAACGCACGAACGGCGTCGATTCGGCAGACGCCATCACCCAGTTCTCCGACCTCGGCTTGCTCGAGCAGGCTGCGGGCAACTCGGAGCTCGCCCTCACGCTCACGAAACACGCGATGAACCTCTACGTCGCCGCCTACGGCCCGAAGCACCCGCAGCTCGTCACCCTCCTCAACAACGCCGCGGCGATGGTCCAGGCCAAGTTTGGAGCCGAGGCGGCCATCCCGCTGCAGAAGGAGACACGCAAGCTCGCCGAGCTCGTCTATGGCGCCGAGTCGGTCGCGGTCGGCCAGGCCGAGTACACGCTCGGACAGTCGTACGCCATGTCGCAGGACCTCCCGTCCGCGCTCGAGCACATGAAGCTGGCCAAGGAGATCCTCTCAAAGCACCTCGCCGAGGGCGCCAAGGAGATCACCGAGGCGACACAGTTCATTCAGATGGTTGAGGCTGCTGTCGCGCACGAGGCACGCGAGCAGGCCGCCCGCGAGGAGCGCCTGAAGAAGGCTCTTCCCGCCGTCGGAGGCAGTCGTCGCATCGGCGGAGCTCGCCTCACTGGCGCATCGGCTTCGACGTCGCCCCTCAGCGGCGTGCTCAGGCAGCAGGTTAATGGCGCGAGCACGAGTGCGCAGCGGCAGCGAACACACGGCGAGAAGGTCCGTCTCGTCTCGTTCTTGCTCTCTCCTCTACGTACGCTGATTGTCCCCTTTGCAGGCCGACTTGAGCGTCGACGACCTCGTCAACTACATTCAGGGCTCGTCGTCGTCCTCCAAGTCGCGCAAACGCAAGACGTCGCCTTAAAACTGCCTCGCCCTAGACCCGCACCATTCGCCTTCCGCGTCGCATCTCGTCGTTCCATACCATCGTTCCTGACTTGCAACTGTACCAACACCCTCTACCCCCTTACGCAGCATCGGAACCGCCTCTCTGCCTGTCTATTCTGCCTCCAGGACCCGCATGAGCATTCCTGTCTTTCTATCTCCCCTCACCGCTCCACTCCCCTTGACGATCTCTGGATCCCAAAAGCTGCAGATCGACTGCAACAACGTAGACGTTTCGCTCCTAGTCGCTGTTGTCGCTCGAGAGGGCTGAAGCAAACGAAGTTGGAAGTCGAGAGCGAGAGAAGGGGAGGAAGCGCTGTTTCTCTCGAGCCGCCCGCCGCGTTCACAGAATTGTCGATAAACCTGCGTTGCACGCCTGCTGCCTCTGCGTCCATCCCGTCCCAGCGTGAAGGGCCAGCCCAACGCCCTTGTCCTCCTCCCCCGACCGCAAGTCCCCTTTCCGCCTTCCCCAGTCCCACGAGTCCCGCGCTGCTGCTGCGTGTACGACGGGACATTGCGACTCGTTCCACGCACGACAGGCTGGAGGCGTGTGAGCCCCGCCCGGGCAGTGAGGAAGCGCCGCACCCAAGTCCCCTCTCCCTCGTTCTCCGGCCCGCGTAGACGGCGTAGCGAATCATGGACTGGGCTGCAGAGCAAGCTGCGCCTGGGTCTCGAGTAGGCTACGTGCTTTTTGAATGGGCCGTGCTTGTTATGCGTTAAGGAAAGAGAACAAGCAACCGACTTGGCTGTCGAGCTTTTGTACGCGGGGAGCAAATCAGTCACGTGCAGCGAACTCACATTCGAGGGGAGGCGCAGCTCGCTCCCTTGGTCCTTGTCTCCTCGTCCTTGTTCTCCCTAGTTAACTCTGTCGCTCAGCTTGCTGTGCTCGCCAGTCTGCTCACTCGCTGCTGTTCCGGCTGCTCGCGCTCCGCCTGGCTGGCTTGCACGGTGTGCTCCTCCTGCTCGCGACTTGACGGAACTCGCTCGGTCGGACAAGGTGCAGGATGGCGTGGACAGACACTGGGACTACGATTGCGTTCGCGCTGGCTGACGAGGAACCGCTTGAAGTGCACCTGAACTCGAGCTGGACTCGTTCGTGTTGACAAGATTCTCTCGATTCCATGGACTTGCGATGCGACGAAGCGGCTCACCTCCTGCTCGGCTCGTTACATGCTGCATGTGCACGAGTCGAGGCTGAATCTACGCCGTCCCACCGAGGAAGCGGGCTCACTCCGCCTACTCTTCTCCTCTCCCGCCTCACTTCCCTCTTCCTCTCTCTCGCTTCCTCGCTCAACTCGACTACATCTCCACCATGTCCACTCCCTTCGGCGCACAAGTCCCGTCTCCGACCACGACCAAGCTCTTCAACGGTCCGGACAGGGACAAGCTCGACCGCCTCGCCATTCGCGAGATCTGCGAGGGCTGGCCGTGCCACCGCGATGCGAGGAACTGGAGGGCGGTGCGTTACAGCTTTCTTCTAGTTGCTCCGGAGGCGCTGAGCTGAGAGGGTGCGGAGACAGTACCGCTCAATGTTCACGGACGACGCTCAGGTTCGTCCTCATTCACACTCGCTACATGTCCCGGAGCAGCTTACTGATGGCTGGAACACACTCCTGCAGGTCTTCACCACCTGGTCCGTCCCCTCTCGTGCTTCGGAACGACGCCTCGAACTCACACCTCTCGTTCGCTCGTCTCGCAGGTCCGCTGGCAAGTCCATCGACGACTTCATCTCCGCCTCGATCGCCGGCTTCAATCGCGGCGAGCGCATCATGCACGCCGCGATGGGATGCTCGGTCGAGCTCGGCGCCGACTCGAAGCGCGCCGTCGGGATCCTCAAGACGTGCATCGACCAGCGCTTTGAGCTCGAGGGCGAGAAGGGCGGGAAAGTCGAGGTCGACGCGCAGTGCCTCAATAGGTTCTGCTTCTTCTGCGAGAAGAACGAGAAGGGCGAATGGAAGGTGCGTTCCCGTCCGTTCGCTTCCGTCGAGAACGGAGCTGACTTTCTTCGTGCGCCGTCGCTCCGTGCAGGTCGCCTACTACAAGGTGCGTCATCGCTCTACCTTCACTGTCGCGCAGAAGCTGACCTTGCACCCCCTCACTCTCCTCGCAGGTCATCTACGAGAAAGACAGGCTCATCCCCGTCGACCCGCGCAAGCTCCCCAAGGTGCGCTCGCCTGCTCCGTCTCTTGTCACTCGCGCCCGGTTCCACGCTGACCTCTGTCTCGCACTCTCGCCGCACAGATCGACGACGCCCTCCTCTCGCGCTTCCCCTACGGCTACCGCTACCTCGGCTACTGCCAGTCGCTCCTCGGCCACGACGTCATGCTCGACCTCCCTATCGCCTCGGGACCGGAGCACGAGAAGCTCTACGAAGCGATGAGGGCTTGGACGGAACAGGGAGCGGACAGGAAGAGGATGGACGAGCTCTTGCGCGTCAAGAGGGCTTAGGGTGCAGAAAAGGGGGAGAGGAGTAGAGGATGGACTGCTTGCATCGCTTGGGACTCGCTTACGCATCGTGACCAGTCTTTCAAGGAGAGAGAGAGTTCCCGTTTCGCCCGCCGCCTACCGCTTCCTCACCCCCTCGTTCTCCCGCTTGATGAATTCTACCACGTCCATCAGACTCGCCACCGCGTCCTCGCTCCGCAGGTTCCTCTCGTCGTCCTGATAGCTCGCACGAGCGTGTTCTCCGTTTGTGGTTGTTCTTCGAAGGAGAAGGCTCCGCAGGCCTGCCTTGCGAGGCGCTTCGTAGTCCCTGCACTCTGCCGTGTCAGCTCGATATCCCAAGAAAGAAACGAATTGCACGCACGACTCAAACTCGTCGCCGACCACCAACACTTCGCTCGGCGAAAGCTCCGCCTCGCCCGCTTCTTTCGTCATCTCCCGCAGCCGCCGCAACACCTCCTCCCAGAACTCCACGCTGCGCTTCTCCTTCTCCAGCTCCCAAGTCGTCCAGATCTTGTCCTGTTTGATGCCTGCCTCGGAAGGCTCGAAAGTCGCTGCTGTGACCTCGAGCGAATCGAGGATCTTGAAGACGGCTGTATCGGTATTGCTAACGATGGCGGGTGGAGGGAAAGCGAGGTCGCTGTGTAGTGCTCGGAGAAAGGGGACGCAGTCGTCGTGCAGCTCGTAGCCTTCTTTGCCCCAGAATCGTCGGACGAGGGTATCGCAGAGCTCCCGCTCGACGGGCTCGAAGTCTGTACAGCGGTGAACGTCAGCTTTCCGCGCTCCTCAGAGAGGGCAGAGCTGCTTACCGGCAGCAAGAACGCCAGCTTGTCGGAAAGTGTCGCCAATCACGCCGGACCACCATTGCGACGAGTCGAGCGGAGGCGAGCTGTGCTTCCCATACAGCGGGTGCAGCTTTGCCCACTTCTTGAAGGCTGCGAGACGGTGGTGTGATGGTGAATGAGCCTTCGCCGCAGAGCGGCGCGGGAGGAGGTGGCGGACCTTGCTTAAAAGCGTCCTTGACCTCGTCCTCCTTGACCTGCAGGCCGTACGAGCGTGCGACAGCCACCTGCGAGCAAAGGCTTTCTAGTCATTAGATAATCAGGAAGCTGTCTGAACCACCGTGACGCACGTATTGCCGGAAGACAGGCTCGCGAGGAGAGAAGACGGTCCCGAAAGCATCGAGCAAGACGCGGCGGATGACCATATTGATCGTGCTCCGGCGTTGTGAGTAGTAGCCTTCGAGACACCGCTCGCGTGCAGTTCGAAGAGCCTCCTCGACGCCGTGGAAGGCGATTCCTCAAAGAAACTGATGAGAAAACGAAAGTCGGGCGAAGCACTCTAGGCGGTGTGTAAAAGGAAGAGGCGCTCGCAATGAAGTGCCAGATGCGTCCAGAAGCGCGAGAAGACAAGACGGCGCGGAGCGAGCGAGGCGTAGGAGGAAGAGGAGCGTTGAGGCGTGGAGGGCGGCAGGCTCTTCGCAGCCGCTCTTCTTCGCGGTTGTCGCTCACGGGTGTACTAGCAGAGAGTCACGAAGAAGCGGCTTTTGCACAGGGATTGCGAGTAAAACGAGAGGGATGGTTGTCTACGCGAGAGGCAAGCGAAACTGCGACGAGCGCGTCTACCGAACGCGAACCTTGAGGTAAGGGACCTGTGAAGAGGCAAGCGGCGTTGTGTCGAAGACAGCAAGGGAAGGGAGCGAGGGGGGCAAGCGAAGTCAGTAACGATGCGTCTGAGCGGGAGCACGGCGGCGAGCGGTGTACTGACCTCGACGTCGTCGTCGGTGTCCATGTCGTTGCACATGATCTCGAAGACGATGTCGCGGACGTGCTCGGGAATCGGCTTCTTCGAGACCGTCTCGACGAGCTGCGAGAGCGGCATCTTGAGGCGCTCCTCGAGCTTCTTCTTCGGCATGAAGCCAGAGTACAGCATTGAGACACTGCGAGGAGGAGGGGGATGAGTGTTTGCTCGAGACGAGGCCGAGTACGGCGGACGCACCCGCTGGAGAGCATGCTGATCTCGAGCTTGTACTTTTCCTTGAAGTGCTCGACGAGCTGCTCGAGCGTGATATCGCCCTCGATCTCGAAGCGGTCCCAGAGCGTGTACTCGGTGTCGCGGTACTGCGGAGAAGGCGTGTCAGGGGTATCCGAGGCGAAGGAGCGACGTAATGATGCACCTTCATCTTAGGCGCCGCGATAGGCTCCGAGAAGGCGAAGAACGGCAGCGCGAGGTTGCAGAAGGAGTTCTTGTATCGCTCGAGCATCTCGGCGCCGCGCTTCTTCTCGTCGAGGAGCTGCGGATCGAGCATCGTTAGCACGCAATCGCGTGACCATCTCGGAGACGGCTCACCTTGTACAGCTCGATGCAGACGAGACCAGCGACGACGGCGGTGGCTGGAAGGACAGAAAAGTTCAGCCGTTGACCTCGAGTGAAACGCGCGAAGGGACGCACTGGTCGCAAGCGCAGGAATGATCTTGCCGGCGATACCCTTGGTCCTGTGCCGGTCGGCAGGCTGGATACCGTAGTTCTGCGCACGCAGGTTGGCTTCGAAAGCGGATCTAGGTTAGCCAGATGGCTACACGGCAAGAAGGGAGGAAGGCCGCGCACATGCTGCGGTGATGAAGTCAATGTGGTGGTTCGTGTCGTCGTCCTTCTCGAACTGCGCTGGGACCATGCGGTAGCCAGCGAGCGTCGAGGGAGGCGGGAGGGAAGCAGCAAGAGAGGCGAGGTCGTCGGCGTCGGTCGAAGGAGGCGCATCCTTGTCGTTGTTGACGGGTTCGTCGTCCTTGATCTGCACCTGCACGCCAGACTTGGGCACGAACTCCGGAAGGTGGACCTGGTCGAGCACCCGCTTGAACGTCTCGAGGTTCGTCTCGCCCATCAAGCCGTAGTTGTACGCATGCAGGTTGGCTGCAGCGACGATGAACTCCATGTGGGTGGGCTGCGAGAGGGCGGGTCAGCAGATGAGCAGTCGACACAGTGAGCAGGCCACGCACGTTGTTGTAGTCGAACTGCAGGGGTTCAGGCGCGCGCTTGGGGCCGGACCAGAATGGCGTGCCCTCCTTCGTGAGCTGGGGTGAGGGACTGAAGTCAGCATGGTTCACCGAGCAGGCTTGATCGTCGGGGGACGCACCAGGTCCTTGGGCAGCGAGAACAGCAGCTGCTTGATCTCGTTGACGTACTCCGTCTCAAACTGCTGGCGCGCCCAGGTGATGCACTCCTCAAAGCCGAGCGGCTTGTGGTCGACGAGGTAGCTCTTGACCTTGAGGAGCTGCGCCGTCTCGCCCGACTGCTTGGCCGCCTCGACAAAGTTGGGCTGCGAGAGGTACGAGTTGACGACCTCGGCCGGCTTCTCGAAGCACTCCTCGAAGCGCTCCTTCGCCCACTGTGCGCGGAGATGCTGCGTCAGCACCGACTCGAAGGCGATGTGGGTGGACTACTAACAGCGATCGTGTGCTCGATCTGGTTGGGGAAGTTCTTGATCGTGCAGCTCGGGTGACTTTTTTCGGGCGGGTCCTGCGACGACGAGTACGACTCGGTGACGTGCGGGAGGACGACCTGGACGTTGCCTTTGGTTCCAAGCGTGCCGGACTCGAGAAGAGGCTTGGCGTAGTACACGCAGCGCTGGTCCATGTATTGGCCTGCGGGCAAGCGAGTTAGTCTTTTCCTGCAAGAGACGCGGGCTAAGCGAACGTACGAGCCGAGACGTTGTCGAGTGCGTTGGTAACGCAGTCAATGCTGTCGAAGAACGAGTCGCCGAAGACGTCTGTGAATGCAGAGGGCGTCAGCTGTCGAGCTAGGCAAGTCCTCGACGACCGACCCACTCTCGGTGTCCGGTCCGACCGCGAGCTTGAAGACCTCGACCTTGCCGTCCAGCCCCGCATTCATCTCGGTCGCCGCACGCCTCGCCGCCTCACTCTTGAACGACCCGACGTCCTTGGGCCTGAACAAGAACTGGCGGTTGAGGTTGCTCTTCTCGATTGTGTCGAGGTCGGTGATGTAGACGTGGCCGTTCTGTCCGCTCGCGACGCCCATCATCGCCCAGTTCTTGAGCATCTCGCAGCCGATCGCGCCCGAGCCGACGAGGAACTGGCGGTTGTTCTCGATCTTCTGCTGGAAGGAGCGGCCAAAGACGGCGATCTGGTTGTCCCAGCGACTGGCGGGGTTCGAGGGCGCGCATTCCTCCTCGGAGGGAAGATCGACAGGGAGAGCCTCGAGCGCGTCGAAGTACAGGTGCTGGTACAGGGGCGAGAACTTGCCCGAGCAAGCCTTGAGGACCTCCTGCGCGACGAAACCACCGATGACGGCGTTGACGGGCGCGAGGTCGCCGACAGCCTGGAAGGCAAGCTCCTCGAGCACCTTCTCGTCGAGGTCGCCCTCGAACTTGACCTGCGCGGCAATGTCCTTGGCGAGCTGGACAAAGGTGGCGGCGTCGGCGGGGTTGCGGGGCTTGGGAAGGCGATTGTGCTGGGTGCGGTAGGCGGAGAGTGCTTGGAAGCCGATGTGAAGTGTGGGCGGGCGGTCGAATTTGGCAAAGTCGGTGATGAGGAATTCGGGCGCAGTCATCGACTCGCGCAAGGGTTTCTGCGGGCAAGCTCTGTGTGAGCGCGTCGCCGGTAATACGGGAGAGGAGCGCGACTCACAAAGTCGTACATCTTGGGCATCTTGACCTGATGGAACCAGCCGCCGCGCTTGTACTGACCCAGTCCTCGCGTGTCGCCGATCTTGAAGGTGTACGGGCCTGTTGACGCACTATGTCAGCCTCAACGATGGGAAGTCGGCGATGAGCGAGCTACGCACCGGTCACCGTGATCTTCCTTGCCCCCTCGACGCCGTCCGAGTTGATGTTCATTCCCTCAACCTCCGAGAAACGGACGTAGTCGCCGTCCTCGAGTCCGTGCCGCGACTCGTCCAAGCACGTCACGAGCGCATCCTCGGCCTCCTCGATCTCGACGACCATGCCGGACAGCGGGTTCTCGCCCGTCTGGTCGACGACCGGGAACTGCTCGCCAAAGTCGCAAAACGCGGAGGCGAAGAGACCGGCCGTCTCGGCCGCGATGAACTTGATGCCGTTCGCGTGGGTGAAGTCGTTGAGCTTGAGCTGGTCCTCGGTCGAGCCCTGGACGAGGACGACAACGGTGAAGCGCTTGACGGCGTCGAGGTTGAGGTCGGGAAGGACAGAGACGGGAGTGTAGGCGTTAAGTTCGGCCAGGCGCGGGCGAGTGGCTTCGTCGCGGCGCTGCCCGACGTCCGAGTCGCGCAGGAAGAACTGGGTGCCGAGGTCGGGGAGCGAGACGGGAGTCGGGTCGGAGAGGGTGACCGACTTGACGCCTGCGAGACAGATGTTCTTCGCGATCTCGACACCGAGGCCGGAGAGACCAATGACGAGAACATCGGAAGCGGCCATGCGCTTCATGGCTGCGGACAATACGAGATCCCGTCAGCCAAGTTCGAGGAGGTGGAGCCGCTGCAGGGGAGGTGCGAGACGCACCCTCATGGCCCAGGACATAGCTGCGAAGAATGGAAGCGTATGGTCAGCTGTCATGCGTCCCTATGCGAGCCAGCAGGGCACGCTCGCCCAAGCGGTGTGAGCCTTGCTGAATGAGCCACCGCCCACCGCCTTCCTCAGGAGCAGCTGCTGCCACCACGCCGTATAGGGACATAGAGACCCTCCATTGCGTCTTCATCCAGCTCCTTGGAGCTCCCAAGCCATTCGAGACAGCCCCATCTGCGGTTGTCCCGTCGTTCTCACCCGATGACCTCGTCTCGGTGCGATGAGGCGGCGTAAGCAGAGTGAACGGGGACTGGACGCACAGCTGCCGACTGTAGAGACTCTCGTCGAGTCCCGCGTCGTTCGAGACTGGCTGCTGAGCTGGTGCTGCCATTGTGGTGCGTGTGGTGAGCGAGAGAGTTTCCTTCGCCTCCTCCTCATCCTCAGCCTCAACACACAGCGAGCAAAGCTGGCTTTGGATGCTGTAGACGGTCTCTATGGGCAGTCACTCGCTGCTGAAAGTTCCAAGCGTACCACCAGAGCCGCCGCCCGAGCAGCTTTCCTCTCTCTTCGCCGGAACACGGTGCGAGGGCATCAGGGTGGCGCGCTCGTTGTGCTGCCGAAGGACGCGAATGCGGGATGTACGCGTGCTTGCATGCATCGGTTCGAACGACGAGCTGGTGGAAACGGCTGGGACGCTATCCTCGCTCTTTACTCATCCTCCTCACCCTCTCACGTCGCGCTGTACAGTCCCGCCTCGCCTTGCAGTTGCGTGACCCGCGACTCAGCGTCTCTTCCGTTGTCTTCATCATCCCGCAGGTTGTCCAGCCGGCTCACCGTCGTTGTGGCTTGAGGACCCGGTCGAGGGTCGTCCGGTCGAACCAACAGACGTCCACCTCGCGGCGACGTACGACGGGCGGACACTGCTTACTATACCGGGCACCAAGTCCTCGTGTACAGGACAGGTTGCACGGCGAACAGCAAGGTCTGGCTGAGCGGGACCGTCAGCGAGAGTCCAGCTTTGGTTGATCACCTTCCTCTCCGAGCGACCAAAGTGCCGAGATCGCCTCAGCGTGACATTTGGAGTCTTTCCACGACGATCGGTACAGAAGCAGAGCTCGCGTTCCTCCCGCGTTTCTCGCTCGCCGCTCCAGGTCGCCTCACCGCCTCCTCCTCTCCTCCTACTCCTCCCGCTGCCTCTCTCTGCTTGCGTCTCGGTGCTACAGTCTTCCATTTTCCCCGCCAGGAGCGGCCCCACCGCCCGCCAACAGGCATGTCGGCCTCGCAGTTCCTGCCGCACGCGCTCGACGGCTCGACAGTCCGCGAACTCCTTGCAGGCGTTCGCAGCTTCTTCTACCCGCCGCCGACCGCCGGCTTCACTGTCCGCGTCTTTATCCTCATCGCCGTCATCGCAGCGTGCGTCTGTTCAGCACCTCGCGTCTTCGGCACAGCGAATCGGAATTGACGTCCCCTCCTGTCGTACGGCCGTCGCAGAACGATCGTTTCCGCCCTTCTCTTCATCGCCTTGCATATCTACCACACTCGACGAAACGGCAAGAAGGTCTGGTTCGGACGGCGGATCGAGCGACCGAGCGGACGACTGTTGGTCCTTCACTCTCGGACGACATGGACGCTTTCGCTCGTCATCTGGGGCGGCTACAGTGTAGCCTACAGCGTCGTCTATTGGCTGGTGTACGCGAAGGAGTACTCCCAGCGACCGCTGATCGTCATGCGGTCGTTTCAAGGCATTCCGCTCTTCCTCGGCGGCTGGTGTGTCTCCTGGTCCGGCTTGCAGGTACGTCTTGCTCCTTTTGACTGTATCTATTCGAGCACAACCTTACACTCGACTCTGCAGGCGTTCATGCTCGCGACGGAGTCGGCGAACGAGGTTGTACTCCCCGTCCCCGTCGCAAACACGCTCTGTCTCGCCGGCGGGATCGTCAACATCTTGATCGTGATCGTGCGCACCTCGTTATTCTCTACAACATTTGACTTCGTGCTGACGAAGCCTCCCGCAGGCCCTCGCCACGGCCGACACCGTCTATTCGCTTCGCCTCTACGATCGCTACCTCATCCTCGTCAACGCTCTCCAATCGCTAGAAGCCCGCTTGAACGGTCGTACACCGACTCTTATCGACCTTTTCCCGCTGCAAGCGCCTACACAGGCAATGCTTGATGCCGGTGCTGCTGCGCGGCCGTGAGTCCGCTTTCCTCTTCACGCTCCTGCGGCCTTACGACTGACCGGGCATTCTGCAGTCTCTCCACCGCTCTCTTTGCTTTCGGGACCAGCATGCCGGTCATGTGTCTCTTGGTGAGGCTGGCCGCCAGCCCTTCGACGACTCGTCAAGAACCAGCGAGCTGACGTCTTTGGCACGTGCAGGTCAATCTCGGCGGTCTCGCCCTCGTCCGCAAGCTACGCGTACAAATTCGCGACAGCGTCAACCTCATCCCCTTAACCACCGACGAAAGCTTCCTAAAGTCGGCCGGACCAGTTCCACCCGCACAGGCGCACGAGGCGGCCTCGCCAGCGCGGCAGACGACGGAGGACTCGAGCCTGTCACGGCTCCCGCCCAACAGCGCCACCGACAGCCCACTCTCCGTCAATCTCGAGCCGCCGTCCACCTCCTCTTCCACCGACAAGTCCCCCATCCCGTCTCCGCGCTCCGCTCCTCGCACCCTCTCGTTTGGCGAAGTCAAGCGGATTGCGAATCGGGATCTGGAGAAGAACGCGGGACAGATTGTCAGCCCGGCGAGTCTGCAGGCGAGAAAGGTTGTCGAGCTGAAGAAGGCGGAGCGGGATCTGATCCTGGTGCGTCTCCCAAACTCCTTCTCACCTCGCGCTGATCCGAGCTAGCACGCGCAATGCTGACGAGCGGCGGGTCTCGCAGGTCACGCACTTCCTTGCAATCATCTGCGCTTTCCTTGCCGGCTATCTGCTCTGGATTACAATCATCTTCTCTGGCGTCACTCCGCCGTCGTCATGGATCAAGTGAGTTGTCTGCTTTTCCCGCCTCCGACTTACGCTGACGGATTGCGGCGCACAGGATCGAGTTCGCCTCAACATTCGGCAACTGGTTCTTCTTCACCATCGCCCTCTTCGCCAGCATTTACCTGAACGTCACCACATTCGCGCTCGATAGTTCGCATACCAAGCGCGCGCCGCCGAGCGAAGGCAACAGCGGCAATCACCCGAACTTTACCTCACTCTTGCGCCAGATGATGCCCGGCTCGCAATCGTCTGAGCTTCCGCAGACGGCTACACTGAATCACGGCGACCCGGCCCATACGCCGAGCGACGAAGAAATAGGCACTGTCGAAGAGGCGGAGGAAGGCAAGCCAGACTGAGCGGCTGGAGACGTTTTCATCGGCTCTGCGCATCGACTTGTTGTGACTTATACTTGCATTGACATCCATTCTGGAAAACGAGTGACGCGGGAGGGAGCGAGCAGAAATACATCAACAGTGAAAAGAGCGTGAACGAGAGCAACCTCCGCAACCTTGTCTCTGTCAAGCCCGCCCGAACACCTTCTTCGGGTTAGGCGACCTCGTCCCCTGTCCCATCAACTCGCCATGGAGCTCGTCAAAGTCGCTACCCTCGTCGTCCGTGCCAAACTTGACCTTGACGAAGCTGTCCTCGTGCGCCTTTCTCGGCGAGCGACGCGGTGAAGCGGTAGTCCCGGACTTCCTCGCTGACTTCGGTGACGATGTAGCGCGCTGCGCAGACACTGAGCAGTCGGCGCCTTGCTCGGCTGGTGAAGGCGCCTGCTTCGTAGTCTTTGCCCTCCTCCGCCCGGGCGTGATGGGCCGATCCCTCCCAAGCTCGAGGCCCGGAAGCTTCTCGCCGGGAGAGAGCGAGGGACGACGGTGTGTGGCGAGAGGCGAATCCTGCGCGACTTTGACGGGCTGGGCGGGTTGCTGCGAAGGCTGAGCCTGAGGCGGCGAGAGTTCCGGCGGTGCGGAAGGGATCGACGACGAGGAGAGGCAGGGAGAGAGCATGGCGTGGGAGACGGTGGCTTGAGATGCCGAGGATGTGGATGACGAGTTCGATGCGATAGGCTGGACGGCTTGGTCTGTTGAGATGGCGACGCCGAAGACAGTCGTCTCCGTGGACTCCTGCGTCGCGGCAAGGCTTGACGAGCGCGACGGTAGATGCCCGTCGCGCTGGAAGACGGGCTGTTCGGGGAGAGGGCGAAGAGGCGAGCGAGCGGACTGGCGGGACTGCGCGAGAGAGGCGAGGTCTCCGGGTACGGACTGCGATGCCGTAAGCATACCCGTTGAGCGAAGCGAGCGATTCGGGAGCGGTGACCAGTCGGGCGCAGGTGGACGAGCGGCGGAAGACGAGGGCAAGTTGGCGAACGAGCGAGAGGACGGCAAGGCATGCGGCGTGATAGGCGAAGGTGCGCCGTTTGCTCGCGCAAACTTGCGCTTGAAGGCGCGGTCGAGCACCTCGTTCAAGCCTTGTCCATCCCCTCCCGCCGCGCGCAAGTCCTCCCTCGTCTTCTCCTTTGGCAAACCCACCTTCCGCAGTTTGCCCCTCTTGCCGCTCAACTCGCTCAAGAATGCGCCCAAATCGACGCCATCACCGATGGTCGAATGTCGACGCTTCGCACGCTCGGGCGTAGCGCGAAGTGCGGCTCGAGCAGACGTGAGGAGCGGATGAGGCTTATTGGCCGGCTTTGGAGGAGGCGGAGGGGGCGGCGGCGGCGGCGGTGGAGCAGATACTCGTGGCGAGTTTGCGAAGGGCGACCGTGGCGGTTTCTGGGCCGAGAGCTGGTGGGGTGGGACTGCTTCAGCACGTACAGGTGGAGAGGCCAATTAACCGATGAAACGCACCTGTCCTCTCAGCCTCTTCACCTCCTCCTCAAGCTCCTCGATGCGCCTCCTGTCGCTCTTCCGACGCTCCTTCTCCTTCTCCTGGCCCCAAGCCCTTCCTACCACTTCGCCCGCCTCGCCAAGCAAGATCGTCCCCACCTGCTCAGTCTCTTTCCGCCGCGGCGTCTTCGGGCTTGTTGAAGCCGACGCAAGGTTCGGGAGTGACGAGGAAGAGGCGATGGTTGCGCCGTAAACCGAGGGCTGGGAGCGCGAGTTCTGGAGGGTGATGGCTGAGGGGAGGGCGGCTGTTGTAGCTGTGCGACGGTGCAAGCCGCGTCCCGCGAGCGCCGAGGTAGTCGAGGCTGTCGAGATATGAGCCTGCGTATCACTTCGACTAGCCTGCTCTGCGTTTTTCCGAGTCGGTGCAGCAACGAAAGAGGCGGTGATACCCTCGTCCGTCGTTGCCGCGTGAAGTAGTGCTTCCTCGTAGGATGAGTCGGCGTACGGACGTAGAACTTGACGAGAAGTAGAGGGAGAAGTCGAGGAGTTGCGAAACGAGACGGGGGAGGAAGAGGCGTTGGAGTCGTAGCTTGGCGGAAGGGGGTTCGCTTGTGAGATGGGCGGCATCAAGGGTGGCACTGTAATTCAACTGGGTCAGCACAGACTGCTGACCATGGTAGCTGGACGACAACTCTCACCGCCATCGAATAAGACCTCGTCGCGGAACTCGACCCGCCGTCTCTTCCCTCCGCGCCCCTTCTCCCGCTCTTTCCGTCCTTCCGCAGCCTCTGTTCCCCTCCCATGCTTCTCACCCGTTCGAGCAACCTCGTCCACCCCTCCCGCTTGTGCACCGCCTCCAGACAAACCGCTCGTGAAGCCCGCAACTTGCGACCCCGCAGCCGCTTTCAAGCCCTGCCAGACGTGCGAGAGACTGCTGAAGAGGAAGCTGGACGAGGGCAGGGTGGCGGAACGCGGGGGAGAGAGCGCGATGGACTGGAAAGAGGAGGCGGAAGTTGAGCGAGGGAGAGAGGCGGATGAGTCGGTTGGGGCTGGTTCGCGGCTCATGGTCGGTGCATAAGAGCGTGTTTGAAGCGTGGCGAGGCTACTGTAAACCCGGCCCTGGGTGGTGAGGTGGTGGACGAGGGCAGGATCGCTTCTTCAAGCGATGAGGAAGAGGAGAACGCACGACTCGCTTCGTAGGGCTAGCTGAGCGCGTCAAACTCGTTAGGATATGCCATTGAGCCTCGAGTGCGCGAGAGACAAGCTGGCGACCTGTTGCCAGCTGTCCAACTCCTCCTCCTCCTCCTCAAAACGGCTCGGCGCGCCTGCTCCATGCGAAGCAGTGTCTGTGAATACAGGAACGACATGTTTCTAGTAATCCTACATGCGAGTCTAAGTCTGCGCGGCGCCCTTCCTCTCCAGCGCTTACAACACCCTGCATCCTCTGCTGCCCTCACCAAGTAACGACCTCCTCCTCTTCCCACCGTTCTTGGTCCTTGCTGCGGCGCTTCTGGTCCGTGAGGAAGGTCCGGTGAAGGAGGGTGAGGAGGATCGGGTGGAGAGAAGGCTGGATGAGGGCGGAGAGGATGATTTGTGTCCTGCGGAGACGACGAAAAGTCAGGCCGGCTGGACAATGCAGTGCAAGGCGGATGACGCACGGTTTGCCCGGCCGTTCGAGCACAGAGACGACGGTCTCCTTGGTCTTGTCGTCGGCGAGCTGTCAGAAGCGAAGTCAGCGGAAGGTCCTCCAGAAGCGGAGGAAAGGGAGCGCACCGTGTAGCACTCCTCCGAGTCCTTCTCCTTCTGCCACTTGTACTTGCCGCCCCCGACACCCTTCCATGTCGGTTCGCCGCTGCCAAACACCGGCTCCTTGTAAAACTTGCGCCACTTGATGTTCTTCCCGAGCGGGAGGAAGAGCGTCTCCTCCGTGACCAGTCCAACCTTGGCCAACTGGTCTGACCCACGTTCGCGCGCGCTCGCACTCGGCACCTCGAGTAACAACCACTCCAATCCTCCTCCGCCTCCGTTGTGCGCGTCAAACCCATCGAAAAAGTCCGCCCAACCCGCGGCAGCGCCAGCCTCGTCCTCCGCCTTCTGAGATCCCTTCTCGCCCTCCCGGCGCAGAACCCCGTCCCGTCCTCGATGGTACTCCCTCGCGACGTAGTTGACGCGTCGCAGCTCGGCATCGACAAAGACCGACTCGAACTTTGCGCGTCCGGGGAGGGGTGAGGATTGCCAGAGGAGGTAGAGAGAGGGAGAGACGACTTGTGATTGGGAAGGGTGGGTGCACCAGTCGGACGGGTTGAAGGGAGGGGCGAGGGGAGGAGGAGGAGGAGCGCCGCCGTGCTGGCGGTGTTTTGGGGAGCGCGACTGCGATTGCGACCGCGGCGAGTTGAGGGAGGTATTCGATCCGTTGGGATGGCCCGGGAAAGACGCGGTTGTTGAGTGCGAGCCGTTCGAGAGCGAGGGAGACGGGAGAGGGGAAGCGTGCGCGCTGCCTGCCATCGCTGCCGATGGAGGCGGGAGCGACCCTGGCGCGCCGATGCGCGACGTCGTGCGTGGCTTCCAGGTCGTGCTGGGTCGCAGGAGGTCGGGGTCGGAAGGATCGCGAGGAGGAGGGCGTTGCGAAAGTGCGGCAGGGTGGAAGAGCGGTCCGGCGGGAACAGGCGGGTGAGGGTGGCCGTGAGGAGGTCCTCGCTTCGACAGCTTCGTCGGCGAAGACTGTCGAGGGTGCTGGTGTCCTGCGTCGACGACACGCCTGTCTGTCTGGACTCGAAGAGGAGGTGCGGCATGCATTGCCTGCGGGTGAGGCGGTCTCGTGTGAGGATGTGCCTGTCGAGGCTGCATGTGCTGGTTGACGAAGGACGACGGTCCGCCACCGTTGATCGTCGGCGGCAGCGAAGGTGCGCCGGGAACGACGACGGCAACTCCGCCAGCTGCGCTCATGTGAGCAGCTGCGTACGGTCCCCCTCCTCCTCCAGGTCCAGCTCGTGCATCGTAGTACTGTCCTCCTCCAGGATACGGCTGAGGAGCCTGGCGGCTCGCAAACGCCTGGTACCCGTTTGGCGGCAACAACGGGCGAGCAGCACTTGTCGCGAGCGCGCCCCTTGTGTCGTGCGCAGGGTACTGTTGTGCGCGGTCTGGGTGCGGGTGCGCAGGGTACCCGCCCGCGTCTGCGTAGCGCATCTGAGCAGGCGGCATCATGCACGAGCAGAGTGCAGCGGGTCGAGTGAATGGATGCAAGCACAAAAACGCGATCGAGGGTGCGCGCGCGTTTGCCGTCCGGAGCGGCGTCCTTTTCTGCCCGGCTTGTCTCATCGCAATTAGCGTGGCAGAAATTGCAAACGCGCACCGTTGCCAAGAGGACTGGGCTGCTGCGAACAGGAGGAGGAGAAGAGGAGAGGGAGGGAGGCAGATGGAGTGTAAGGCGGAAGGGGGCGGAGTGTAGGATCGACGGGTGCTGGTCGGGGGCGGCTCAAGCGGTGGAAGCGAGAGTCAAATTGCGTCGAGAGAGCAGCGAAGTCGTCGCCTCGCGGCCAAAGATGGTCCGTTCGAGCAGCGGCGGTTGCCACGATAGCGTCTTGAGCGCTTGCTGTGGAACGGCTAGTCTGTCGAACAGCGAGTCGATGTCGCTTGCCAGCAGGAAAGACGAAACGAAGGTCCTGAAGAGCTCGAGGACAGCCTCCCCGCAGGACACGCGGAGGATACCAGGCCAGGTACTCGCCGTTGCCATGCCACCCTTCACGAACTCCCGCGTACGGCGCAACCCGCAAGGCAGGCGGATGCGACGTCGAAAGAAGCGAGGGCCATCCACAAGCGTCGACAGCGGACGCAGCGCCTCGAGCAGGGCTGAAAACCGCATGCGGTCATCAAGCAGGTCCATTGGGTCACGTTGAGCACCCAGGTGAGCCAGCACGAGCTGTTCGAGTGCACCGGAGCGAGCGGTCGAAGCGAGAGAGACGTTCGTCCGCGACCCGCTCGCACGACCTCGCTCGCTGAGGCTGAACGCTAGCTTGGAAACTTCAGAGCTGATTCAGATTTCCACTCAGCCAGCTAGACTTCTCCCGCTCTCTCCCACTCCACCGACACCGACCACGCGCCTCAACGCTCTTCGGCTCCGTCTCACGACTCGTACACGGCTCCTGCTGTGCAGACGAGGCTCGCAGCGTATTGCAGCGCAGCGGGAATAGTGCAGGAACAGGTCTCGCGGGCAGCCAGCACTGCGACGAAGCCAGGTCGAGGTGGTGCCCAGGATGAATGTGCGTTCGCTTGCCATCGTGAAGTGGCGTGTCAGTCGTGCTGATTGCGACTTGCGTGCACTCTCCAGTTCGATTCGGACGACGAGGACCTCTCGGTCTTTACGCCAGGCCACGAACCCGCACCCTCCTCCTCCTCCCGCCTCGCATCCCGCTACGCCCCAACGGCCTCCTCCGCAAACCCCTTCTCCAACACACACGGGACGTACGACCCTGCACTCGGCGGACAGAGCCAGAACCCGGCGAGTTATGGTGGTGGAAAGGCGGCGAATGAGTTTGGGACTGCGGTGGATGGGGGCCGGGGAGCGGTTGGAAGGTATGATGCGGCTGAGGACGAGTACAACCCGTACTAGTGAGTGCGAGGAGCGATCCGAGTCGACGAGAAGACCGCTCACCAGGTCTCCATTTCACAGCGACGACGAAGAAGACCTCGCGACAACCTCGTTCGCCGTCTCGCAGAACGACCTCTCACGACCCGACTACTCCCGCGCCGACCGCTCCTACGCCGGGTCCGCGCCTCTCACCGCACACGCGCAACAGCCCGCCGGCTTCGGCCAAGGCCAGCTCGGCGAGCGCTCGGCGCCTAAGAACATGCTCGATGACGATGACGAGCTCGTACAGGCGAAAGCGCGGATTGCGGCGCGGCAGGCGAAGAGTCAGCGGGCGCTTGAAGCGCGGGGGACGCTTGAGGGCTTGTGGAAGGATGTCAAGCGGGTTGTCATGGGCGGGCCGAGGGTGTATCAGGGAGAGCGGGTCGTTCACCTCAACAACGAGACGATGAACAAGGCGGAGAAGTGGCCTGGGAACAGCGTCTCGACGAGCAAGTACAACATCGTTACCTTCTTGCCCAAGTTCCTCGCGGGTGCGTTCTGTTTCTCACTCGCCTTTCTGCGTTCGTTCCGCGATGCATTGGTCTAACCGAGCTCGACGACCCGCAGAGCAATTCTCGAAATACGCCAACATCTTCTTCCTCTTCACTGCCTGCATCCAGCAGATCCCGAACGTCTCGCCGACGAACCGGTACACGACCATCCTCCCGCTCGGAATCGTCCTCATCGTCGCGGCGCTCAAGGAGATCAAGGAGGACATCGTGAGTCGCCGCGATTTCCAGTCATCGAGACTTCCAGTGGCTAACGAAGCGTCGGGTCCCGCAGAAACGGCATCAATCCGACGCTGACCTCAACTCGCGCAAAGCCTCGATCCTGCAAGGCTCGACATTCGTTGACAAGCCGTGGCGAAGCATCAAGGTTGGCGACATTGTCCGTCTCGAGGCGAACGATGCGTTCCCGGCCGACCTGGTCTTGCTCAGCTCGTCGGAGCCTGAGGGACTGTGTTACATCGAGACGAGCAACCTTGACGGGTGCGTTGGGCGTCGACCTTTTCTCACCCGCGGCTGCCGCATGACCAGGTGCTGATACAAGGCCATATACTCCTGCGCACAGCGAAACGAACCTGAAGATCAAGCAAGCACACCCTTCGACCGCAACTCTCCACTCTCCGCATGCGCTCGCCCAACTAGCCGGCCACCTCCGCTCCGAACAGCCCAACAATTCGCTCTATACCTTCGAAGCGACGCTCTCGATGGGCCAGCCAGGTCACGCTGCGACGTCGTCCGAGACGCCGCTGGGCCCGGATCAGCTGTTGCTTCGTGGCGCACAACTGAGGAATACGAGCTGGTTGTACGGGTTGGTCGTGTTCACGGGACACGAGACCAAGTTGATGCGGAACGCGACGTGAGTCTTTCGCTCTAGCTTTTCCCCGCTGCAGAGCTGACCCTCGCTCCTCGTGCAGCGCCGCGCCGATCAAGCGAACAGCGATGGAGCGCATGGTCAACGTCCAGATCCTCTTCCTCCTCGCCATCCTCCTCGCCCTCTCCCTCGCTTGCGCGATCGGCTCGACCATCCGCACGCACGTCTACGGCGACGACATGTGGTATCTCTTGCTCGACGACGGAGGCGAAAGCAGTCCTGTCTCGGCGAGCAAGTTCGTCAAGGATGTGTTGACGTTCATTCTTACGCTCAACAACTTGATTCCCATCTCGTGCGTTCGCGAATCCTCGTCTGGTAGCTTCTGCCCCAGTTTGCATAGGTCTACACGACTGACGGAATCGGTGGTCTTCGCAGGCTCATCGTGACGATGGAAGTTGTCAAATTCCAGCAGGCCGCGTTCATCAACAACGACCTTGGTGCGTGCGGTCACTCGGGCACTCCAGCTACACTACTAACGCCTCCCGCGCCGCAGACATGTACTACGCCCCGACCGATACGCCCGCTCTGTGCCGTACCTCCTCTCTCGTCGAAGAGCTCGGCCAGATCGAGTACATCTTCAGCGACAAGACCGGCACACTTACCTGCAACCAGATGGAGTTCCGACAATGCTCCATCGGCGGCATTCCCTACGCCGATATCGTCGAGGAGTCGAAGCGCGGCGAAGTCTTCTCGTTCGACCAGCTGCGCGACAACCTCGCGAACGGCCACGAGACGTCCAAGGTCATCGAAGAGTTCCTGACGCTCCTGTCGACTTGCCATACGGTCATTCCCGAGCGTAAGGACGAGAAGATCACGTACCAGGCGAGCAGTCCGGACGAGGCGGCTTTGGTGCAGGGCGCAGACGTGCTCGGCTACACGTTCACGGTGCGCGCGCCAGCCCATATTCAGCTCGATACAGTCCAAAGCTGACGGCATCGTTCTCGACAGACCCGCAAGCCGCAGTCCGTCTTCGTCAACATCGCCTCTCGCGGCTCGCGCGAGTTCGAGATCCTCAACATCTTGGAATTCAACTCGACGCGCAAGCGCATGTCGGCGATCGTCCGAACGCCCGAAGGCAAGATCAAGTTATACTGCAAGGGCGCCGACACCGTCATCTACGAGCGGCTCGCGAGCGAGGGTCAGGTGTTCAGCGAGGTGACGAGCAACCATCTCGAGGTGCGCACGACGATTCGAACTTGAGGATGGAGCTTGAGCTGAACGTTCGCTGACATGCGGCGTTTACGCAGGAGTACGCCACGGAAGGCTTGCGGACGCTCTGCATCGCCATGCGCGACATCCCCGAAGACGAGTACAAGAAGTGGGCAGTCTTCCACCAGAAGGCCGCCGCAACCATCTCGGGCCGAACGGAAGCGCTGGACAAGGCGGCGGAGATCATCGAGCGCGACTTGTTCCTCCTCGGCGCGACGGCGATCGAGGACAAGCTGCAGGAAGGCGTGCCCGACACGATCTACACGCTCCAGCAGGCGGGCATCAAGGTGTGGGTGCTGACGGGCGACAGGCAGGAGACGGCCATCAACATCGGCCTGTCTTGCCGCCTCATCTCCGAGTCGATGAGTCTGGTGCGTCCTTCGCTCCAGCGCGTTGTACGTCCGCTTTCGCTCACCCAAGTTGTCACAGGTCATTGTCAACGAGGAGAACGCGCTCGATACGAAAGACTTCCTCGTCAAACGGCTTGAGGCGGTCAAGAACTCGCGAAGCGCGGGCGATTTCGAGGAGCTCGCACTCGTCATCGGTGCGTGCTCCGCTTTGCTTCTAACCGAGCGACGCTCACGATCCGTCCGCAGACGGCAAGAGTCTTTCGTTCGCCCTCGAAAAGGAGCTCTCGAAGACGTTCCTCGAACTCGCCGTGATGTGCAAGGCCGTTGTCTGCTGCCGCGTCTCGCCCCTCCAGAAGGCTCTCGTCGTCAAGCTTGTCAAGAAGAACCTCAAGGCGATCCTGCTCGCTATCGGCGACGGTGCGAACGACGTCTCGATGATCCAGGCTGCGCACGTCGGAGTCGGCATCTCGGGTCACGAAGGCCTGCAAGCTGCGCGTTCCGCCGACGTCGCCATCAGCCAGTTCCGGTACCTGAAGAAGCTGCTGCTTGTCCACGGCACCTGGAGTTACGTGCGGCTGAGCAAGCTGATCCTGTACTCGTGAGTCGCGCTCAATTCGCTCCCCAATCGCGAGCTGATCTCGATCATCCGCAGCTTCTACAAGAACATCGCGCTCTACATGACCGGCTTCTGGGTGCGTATACTCGCCCTCATCTTGCGACTCCCGCTCACCCTCTGTCCCCGCAGTTCGCCTTCCAAAACTCATTCTCCGGCCAGGTTCTCGAGGAGGGCTGGACCCTCACCTTCTACAACGTCGTCTTCACCGTTCTTCCGCCCATCGTGCTCGGCGTCTTCGACCAGTTCGTTGGCGCCCGCATGCTCGACCGCTACCCGGAGCTGTACAAGCTGGGCCAGAACAACAAGTTTGTGAGTCGGCGGTCGCCTGCCGTTCAGCGCCAGGCAATGCTGACCTTATCTCGCTTGCTTGCCGCAGTTCTCGGTCCGCATCTTCTGGCAGTGGATCATCAACGCGCTCCTCCACTCATTCGTGAGTAGGCGCCCGTCTCCACCTGTCCTCTAGCTTACGTCGACGTGCTCGCAGGTCATCTACGTCTGCACGGTCGCAATCTTCAATGAGGGCCTCATCCTCGTCCAGGGCTGGATCAGCGGCCAGTGGGTCTGGGGGACGACGCTCTATCTCACCGCGCTCGTCACCGTTCTTGGCAAAGCCGCCATCATCTCCGAGTGCGTAACGAGCGATGAGGCGGAAGGCGTTTGGCTAACCTCAACACCCACGCAGCATCTGGACGAAGTACACCCTCCTCGCCATTCCCGGCTCCTTCGCCTTCACCATGGTCTTCCTCCCGCTGTACGCCTGGATCGCGCCCATGCTCGGCTTCTCGCTCGAGTACACCGACATCGTCAGCCGGCTGTGGACGTCGCTCATCTTCTGGCTCACAATCATCGGCATCCCCGTCCTCTTGCTCGTGCGAGACTTTGCCTGGAGGTCGTGAGTCTGCGTTCACACCTACGTGATGCTCCAGCGGATGCTGACACCGCATCACGCAGGTACAAGCGGCTGTTTATGCCCGAGCCCTACCACATCGTCCAGGAGATTCAGAAGTACAACTTGCCCGACTACCGGCCACGCATGGAGCAGTTCCAGAAGGTGCGCGTCGCGTTCCGCACTGCCTCACGGCGACACTGACGCTCTTCTCGTCGACTCGCAGGCCATCAAGAAGGTTCGCGCGGTGCAGCGGTTACGACGGAATCGTGGTTTCGCTTTCTCACAGTCCGTCCTGTTCCTTCCGAGCGACATAGCTTTGTCGAAGGCTGACTCGTCAATTCGCAGAACGGAGGAAGGGCAGGAGCACCTCATCCGAGCATACGACACGTCGGTCACGCCAGGCGGGAAACGGCTCGAGACGTGAGGAGCAAGGGGTTCCAAAGGGTTTTGCAGCGCTGTCTAGACTCTTCGCATGGACGCTGGCTGTCAATCGCATCTCGCAGTATCTCGCAGAACGTCCGGCGTTGCATGAGAGCGAGAGTGTAAGGAGGGAGGGCTAAAAGAGGAGTCTGCCTGTCGGGGCTCAGACGGTCGTGTACTGGAGATGCACGCTCTTGATGAGCGTGTAAGCGTCCTGCTTGGGCGGGCCAGCGCTCCAGTTGGGGTCCTGTGAGTCAAGACAGGTCAGTGCCGACACAAAGAGAAGTTTCAGAGGCTGACAAGCTCACACCCGAGCTCCAACTGGTCGCCGGAGGAGAGGAAGCGTCAGTCTCAGAGTCATTGCCGCAAAGAATAGATTAAAAGCTCACGCGTTCCAGATGAAGCTGGCGCCGATTTGCGGGACGTTCTTGGTGAAGGTCTTGCGAAGCTTGCCGTCCACGTAGAACTGGCTCGACTTGGCGTTCCAGACAATGGTGTACTGCAAAAAGCACGGGTGAGTCGGTTTGTCGTGAAAAAGGGAAACCTGAACGCACGTTGTGGAAGTCGGCGGTCGGGTCGAAGCCGTACGGGACAGCAGTGTTCGTCTCCTGCTGACCCGCGATAAGCGGCTGGTTCGTGAACTCCAAGCCTGCAGAATCGAACGCTCGTCAGCTTGCGCAGCAAACACGGGTCGGATAGCGCACCTGGCGGAACCGACTCGCGGTAACCAGTGGTGTAGTAGCTGGAGAGTGCTTCGATGTCGATCCTGCGCACTCTAATCGTCAGTCGACGCCGTCTGAACTCTAGGCCGACTCTCGAACGCACTCGTGGTTGTCCTGAGAGATGAAAGAGTCAGTGACGCGCCCTGAATGCTCGGCAGACTACAGGGCGCACATCAGTGTAGGTGAAGGCTCCGAAGCAGACGCCAGGGACAGGCGTCAACTTGGCGATGGTCATAAAGGTTCCGTAGCGGATGTTGCTCGCGTAGGTTCCGACCTCGGCGGACTTGACGTCGCCCTTGCCTGACTGACCCGTGACCTTGAGGCGAAGGGCACCGTCCACAATGTCGACGTTGGAGGGGACAAAGGTGTGGGAGATCGGCGTGCTGTCGACCGGGTAGTTGCTGACGTAGAGGGAGTGCTTGTCGAGGAATGTCGAGAGGCCCTCGCCATTGTAGGCGCTAAAGTCGACGTCCAGCGTCTTCACGCCGTTCGTAGGAGCCTTCTGTCCGCGACGGACGTGCTTGGCGCAGGCGAGCGACGGACCAGCCGTCACGAGAGCGAGCAAGGCGAAAAGGGAGATGGAGCGCATGGCGAGCGGAACAAGTGAGGGAGCGGGAGAAAGGAGGAGAAGAGGCAACGAGGGCGGAACAAATGAGGGGGCGGGAGAGAGGAGGAGAAGAGGCAAGGAGGAAGCGAGAAGCTGGCGTGGACGCTGGAGCGACCTGGGCACTCCGCGGACAAGCCGAGAGCCAGACAACTGACGAACGTCTCTCAAGCGTTCGGCCGAGCTGCCAGCTTTTCGAGCGGAAGAGGAGGGCGGACGGAGGTGGGTGCGCGCGTTCGTCGGGTCAGCAAGGCGCGAACGGGCGTCAGGCGCCCTCTGACGGGTCCGCGGTGGAACTGCAAGACCGTTTCGAGCGTCGACGATCCACATCGAGACGGCGGCGCAGCGTTGCCGACCTGTGAAGACCTCGAACTGATGAGGAAGAAAAGAGGAGTCGAACGAGGATGGGTGGCTCGGCGAGGGTTGCGAGCGGTCATTGAGCTTGATGATGTACAGTGCACGGCAGCTCAGAGCGCCCCGAGCGTTGACAAGTGCATGGTGGGACGAAAGCCTGGTCGAGGAGGTCGGGCGACAACTTGGCTTCCTCCGCCGCGCTCACCTCGCTGTGCTGGTCCAGCTATGGCTGCCGACCTGTCTGTACCGCTTAATGAGCTGATCTCGACCAAGCTCGGCGCCCTCTCGCTGCGGGACGACGAGGAGATGGTCGACTTCGTGAAGGGGTTGGTTGAGGAGGAGTCGTTCGAGCCAGAGGTCTGTCCCCGACTGTGCGGCTGGCCGGGGCTTCAGCTGACGCTTTGCGACCCGCAGGACCGGAAGAGCGCCATCCTGGGCATGTTGGAGGCAGACGAGGAGGACGGTTCGTTCTCCTCCTCCCTTCTATCGAGCCGAAGTGGGGTTCGCTTGCGTTTGTAGCGACTGAATAAGGTCGCAATGACTGCAGGAACGACGTCGGGTGCGGTCGACGAGCTGCTAGGCGCGACGACCGCGTACCAAGACGCTGTTGCCGCGAAACGACGAGAAGAGCGGGAGGCGAAAGCTCCAGCGAAGGGTGTGCTCCTCCCGCTGAGTTTTCTCGACGTTCTACTGACGTATGTTCGACTGTACAGCGGAAGAACAGGCGAAGAAGCCGCTGACGCCGGAGGAGGAAGCGAAACGGAAGGCGGAGCTGCTGAAAGTGCGTCCAGTCTCGGCAGCTGTCTTCCTTTTGTGCCTCGCATACTGACAACCATTCTACAGGCCTACGGCTACATGGAAGAAGAGACGGAGGCAGAGCGGTTAGAGCGGGAGGAGGCTGAGCGACAGATGCAGCCGGATAAGGCGTACAAGGACCCGTCGCAGATGAGCCGGAAGCAGCGGAAAAAGGCGCTTGAGGGTGTCGGTGCGTTGAACGTTCGCCTTCGTTGCTCCAAGCGGCGGCTGATGAGAGTAGCCGACAGATTTGCTTGCGCTTCCCAACCTGAACAAGCATCACGTGCAAGAGCAGGAGCGGCAACGACGAGAGGCTTCTTCAAGTAAGTTCCTTACCGCCTGCTCAGATTCTCGCCGCTAATCCTTCGTCTTGCAGAAGCAGCGCAGGCCAAGAAGGCGAAGGACGATGCAGACCGACGAAAGCAGAAGTGTGTTCAGCTCTTCTTTCAGCTGCAGAGTCACGTTGACTGACACTTTCTCGCCTGCAGGGAGGACGCAGCGAAGAAGCTGGAGGAGAAGCGGAAGCGGGCGCAGAAGGTCGAGCGGAAAGGCTGAAACGGGCGGCTGTCTTTCTCTCCCGCAACTCGCCGCGCTGAGATGTGCGATCAGACCAGCGAGGCATAACAACAAGACGCTCTAGACAGCTCGTACACATTAAGCTAGAGCGAAGCCGAACCAGCGGCTGTGGGTAAGGGATTCGACTAAGTATCGACGGCATCCTCTTCCTCTTCCTCCTGCCGCTTCTCCTCGATGCCGACGGCGCAGACGAGGTACACAGGCCTGTGATCCGACGTTGCGCCCATCTTGGCCATGTCCAGCACCGAATTGTACTCGAGCACCTCGATCTCGCCTGGCCTTGGTCCGACAGGCTCCTTCTTCTTCTGCGCAACTTCCGCACCCGGCCCACTCGTCGCGTCCGCACTCTTTGCCGTCGCAGAGAGGAACGGCAGAGGTAACGAGTTGAGGAAGGTTTTGAAGCGGGTGTTGAGCGCCGTCCCGCTGGCCGAAAGGTTCGTCCCGCTCGAGCGCAAGTTATTGAGCGAGTTCCCGATCGACCGCTCGCGGTCATGCAATCTGTTGAGCGCGGCGGAGAAGGTGCGAGAGCGAGGGAAGCCGGTGCCGAGAGAGGTGTGAGGCGGACCTGCGGATCCGTCCGTCGACGAGGGCGTGCCCATCGGGTCGGTGGACGCGCCCGTGACTGTCTCTGACACGGACTGCACGATAGGTGGACGCACGTCGGAAGCGGGAGTGGATGCGCCGGCAGGACTGGTTGTCCGCGAGATCTCGGGCGAAGAAGACGATGGCGAGCCGGAAAGCGTGAACTTCTTCCGAGGCGTACGTCGAGGGTGGAAAAACGAAGGCTGCGAAGCGTCGGGGCTGGTCGGCGTAGTCGGGGTGGATGAGATTTCGGGGGACTGGAGGGGCGAAGAGGCGGTCGAAGCCGGCGCAGAAGACGAGTTGTGGAGGCTTGAGAGGGCCTGGAACGACTTGACGCGCTTCCAGAGCGACGTCGAAGGTTGCGTCTCGGCGGAGTTGTCTGTCTTCGTCGAGCCGGCGTTGGAGTCTGCTCGCCCGAGGTGCAGGCCGCCAAGACTCCTTGTCCGCCCGAAGCGAAGGTCGCTGGGGCGTGACGAGGGGTCGTCAGGGCCGGAGGTCGAGGCGACTGAGTCGGCAGAGAGGCTGCGAGAGGCGGATTTCGCATGGTTGCGGTCGAAACGCAGGTGTCGGATTCCATCGGCCGAAGTTGGTCGTTGAGCAGTGGTTGCGGACAACGCAGGTTCGACTGGGGCAGGCGAGGGTGCGGGAAGGGAGATGGGCGGAGGAGGTTCAGGAACTGAAGGTTCTTCGGGTGGAGGAGCGATGCTGCTGTAGAAGAGGATACGGTCTGTCGAAAGCGATAGGTCAGCAAGTCCCGACAAAGAAGGACTCAAGATCTTTGCGCACCTGTCCAGCTCTGCACCCGCTGCTTTTTGGACGTATCGAACGTCGCTTCGACGATCGACTCCTCGTTGTCCAGCTCAGCCGCCTCGTCATCCTCGTCGTCGTCGACCGGTATTGGCCCCTCGTCTCCGCTGATCGGGTTCGACGAGGGAAGCGCTGCAGCCGTTGGGACCGCGAGCGCCGACTGACTGTTCTGCAAGATCGGTCGAGGCGGAGTGAACAGCCCGCCGAGCCCCGGTCTCGCTGTCGCGCTCGAGACTGTCCTCCCCCGCCCCTTGACCGTCCCTTCGCGCTCGTCCTTCTGCCGCTTTGCGTACTCCATCGCAGCGGCAGTCGAGTTGCTCTTGACGAGCGTGAGGAAGCGGACCTGCGCTTTCCGCACAGCGTCCATCGAGGTCTCGCGGCCCTTGACTGGCGGAGTGGGGAGGCCAAGTTGTGAAAGGTCCGTCTTGGAGAGGTCGTCGCGCGTGATGAGCGAGAGGTCGACGGCGGAAGCGGCTGCCGTATCGACAGTCGAGACGGTCTCGGCAGACGAGATGACCGAAAGCGAGTCGTCGTCCATCCGAGGCATCGCAGGCATGACTTCCGGGTCGGTGACGGCACC